AAGGCACCAGGGTGGCGGTGCCACCGGCTTTATATATATATATATATATATATATATATATATATATATATATAAATATAGCTGCGAGCAGCGATGAAGGGCCAAAGCCGGTGGTACCGCCACCCCGGTGCCTTTAGGTAACTAAAGGCACCGGGGTTGCGGTGCCACCGGCTTGGGCCCGTAATCGCTGCTCGCAGCTATATTTATGATTATTTTCTTGTCTAATTTGTTAGCTAGCTATTTTGCAAGAAAATTAATAAAGACTTTTTAAAGTGTATCGTAAGAAATGTGTTGTGCTAATTGTGACATTCAGTTGTTTATTAGTGTTGACAAGAACTGACTGCCGTGTATAAGTGGTTACTTAGCTTTCGATTATATAATTTGGCACCTTTCTGTCTTCTAATTTCTGTCTTCTAATAATTTCTCATTATTCCTTTTTTGGAAAATCATGCAAACCACAGATGAAAATTTGGGCCATTTCATCTACTTCGAGTACCCGACAGACAGATCAAGTTGATGTGGGTGCTGTGCTATTTTTCTTATTGCATCACACAAACATCCCATAAGGATCAGCGGTGCCATTTTCCCTGTTTACTTGTGGTTTCCAAAACCTAGAAATAGGAAAATCATTCATCGTACCATATCATTCATAGCTCTGCCTTCAACATAACCGCCCTCTAAGTTGGGGGATTTATGCCTGTGCACAGCCATGAGTTAATTCTTGCTTACAGGCGAACACAAGTGGTAATGAGCTCTCATTTACACTCATGAACACTGGGGCTTCCCTACGGTCGCCACCACGTCCTCAGAATCAAGTCACTGTTCACGCATGACTGTTCAACCAAACACAGCAGCAGCCGTATAATCACAATGGCTGAAAAACACACTCATGGCAATGCAGATGGCTCGAAAACCAAACACCGAGCCAAACCTCCAGAAGCCCCTCAGCATCTTCGCACTCTATGGTGTCTGAGGAAGTGTGGGATGAGTACCTGTTCCGAGGCCTAGCTCTTTAACATCTGGCAAAGCTAAAATATTTAAATCCTTCAGGCTTTCATTTATAAACTATCATCATTGTGCCCTCAAAATACTTAACTTCAAGATACTCCAGAGTGATTTTCTCTATAATAAGCACAGAACTGCAAGTGAAACTAGTAGCACACTCCATATGAATTAACAATAAAAAACATCTGGTCGTTAGCAGGTCCCAAAATTAGGTAAATGCAACCTCAGATGAACAACAGCAAATTACATATTGCACCGTGTAATTATTTATTTAACAAAAATAAAGCCAAAAATGGGAAAGCCATTGGTGACAAACTAATTACACCCTATGATTTAATTGCTTGTAGAGCAATGGGTTGAAGGAGTCAACAGGAGTTTTGTTTTCTGTATGACAGTATCAGTCTCTCGCATCGTTCGGGAGGAATTTTGCCCCATTTTTTTAATTTTTGCTTCAGTTCATTGAGGTTTGCAGCCATTTGTTTATGCACAACTCTCTTAAGGTCCTGCCACAGCATTTCAATCTGGTTGAGGTCTGGACTTTGAATGGGCCAGGGCAACACCTTGATTCTAGTCTTTTTTTCAGCCATTCTGTTGTAGATTTGCTGGTGTGCTTGGAATCATCGTCCTGTTGGATGGCCCAATATCAGCCAAGCTTTAGCGGTTGGACAGATGGCCTCACATTTGACTCAAGAAAACTTAGGTATACAGAGGAGGACATGACCGACTCAATGACTGCAAGGTGCCCAGGCCCTGTGGCTGCAAAACAAGCCAAAAATCAATCAACCCTCCATTAGTATGATTGTGCTGATATGCTATGTTTGGTTTTCACTGTGCATTATGGCCAAACATCTCCACTTTGGTCTTATCTGTCTAAAGGACATTGTTCCAGAAGTCTTATGGTTTGTTCAGATGCAACTTTGCAAACCTAAGCCGTGCTGCTGTGTTCTTTTTAGAGAGAAGCAGCTTTCTCTTGGCAACCCTTCCAAACATGCCATACTTGTCCCGTCGTTCTCTAATTGTAGTGCCCAGAACTTTAACATGTTAACTGAGGCGTGTAGAGTCTGAGGTGTAGTTCTTGGGTGTTTTGAGATTTCTCTGAGCAGTGCACTGTCTGACCTTGAGGTGCATTTGCTTGGACGTCCATTCCTGGGAAGGGTTAGGTTAACTGTCTTGAATGTTTTCCACTTGTGAATAATCTTCCTTACTGTAGAATGATGGACTTCAAATTGTTTGGAAATGGCCGTATAACCCTTCCCAGATTGATGGCAGCAACAACTGCTTCGCTAAGATCATTGCAGATGTCCATTTCGGCCTTGTTTGTGTTAAATAAATAATGACACGGTGTAATATGTCATGTTTTGTTGTTCATTTACCTAATTTTAAGACCTGCCAAGGACCAGATGATTATATATATATATATATATATATATATATATATAATAACAACATTACCGAAGCACATTAAATTGCTTCATTAAAATAATTTACGTCGGGAGTTTATCACACTGGCGCAAGCACCTGTAGGCGGAAATTTTTATTCTAACCCTTCAACCTAATTTCGCTTCTTTGTTTGCGATCAGATCATTTTAAGCCGCTAAACTCTAGGAAAGTTTTCAGTCAAATGATCCAGTAAGTGTATTCATTCAAACAAGCCAGTGGACATTGGCGAGTGAGGTTTGCATCGCGAACCACACTGGAATGGAAGCATGCTGAACTCACCCGTTTTGCACTGAGGAGCCGAGGTGGTGTCCTGGCATTTCAGCAGTGGTACAGCAATTTTGGCGATGGGACATAACATCTCTGTTCCCTCCTTCAGGGAACGGGGGTTACATTAGTACCCTAAACCTTCCCTATCAGTCAGTCACATTCAACGTTACGTCAGAACGACTGATGAACGGGGATCCCTGCCAAAACGCTGCAATTACTGCCCCTTCCAGTACCCCGCGTTAGCTGCCTAATCCACCCGCACCTGCTGGGGCAGAGAAAGGACAGAGCTTTAACGCAGAGAGAGAGTCGATCACTGCTGTTCCCTCTTATCAACACAGTGATTGACTATTTGGATAACACTGGGAAAGCGTGCCTATTCCAAAAAGAAAGGGACGCTACTGAGACCACATCCTGCTCGTAGGGTGGTAACATGTGGAGTTACACATATGGACTGACCATTAGGGGAGTGCTACATCTGGACGGTCTCTGTGGTAGATCCAGCCTAGCTAGGGTGAAGTCAATACCGAGCAGAGACGGCAGGGTGGGCTCTGCCAAGGGAAAAACATGGGCTCGCCAACAGGGAAGCCGTACCGTGGAAAAATACACGTGGGATCACCCGCAGGGGAATTACAACACATGGGCACCTAGTCTAGCACAGGTGCTGACATTCTGGGCATACACACAAGTGCTAGACCTAGCTTCGGATGCCTCCACAGCGTCGGACTGCCCAGGATGCTGGAGGAACTCATGCAGGGTTCACTAGTTGGGGAACTCGGCTGTGGAGCAGATAAGTGCTCGTATCCCGTCCTAGGAGGGGAGTGGCGCAGCAAGCAAGACACCGAGCGGGTTCCCCTACATACTAGCTACTTATAGCCAGTAAATGGGACAACATGTTCTACACAGAGATTGTAAAAACCTTGCAAATGTGTTGGGTGTCACCTAGCCCGCAGCTCTACAAATGTCTGTCAGCAAGGAGGCATGCGGCGACACCCCGAGTTGAGTGAGCCCTCACTCCAAGGGGGCACGCCTGGTTTTGAGCCTTATACAACAAGACTATGGCATTCCCTATCTAGTGGGCCAACCTCTGCAATGGAGACAGCCTTTGTGAGACAAAAGCTGCAGTGTTGTCCATCCATCCAGACAAGCACAAGCTTTCCCTGTAGCAGTGATCTGAAGCAGCGCAGAGCAAGCCGTACTGCTAGCAACTCGAGGCAATTGATGTGCCACTGCAGTCAAGGTCCTGTCCAGGAGCCCAAGTCAGCATGCCTGTTGCACATGGCACCCCAGCCGGTAGTAGAGGCATCTGTTGAGACAACAACAGGCCCGGACACTTGCTTTAGGGGAACTCCTGCCCATAGAAAAGCAAGGTCTGACCACGGGCTGAAGGTTTGGCGACAGTCCGGTGTAATCGCTACCCGATGTGTGCCGCGTTGCCATGTCCATCTCGAGACTCTGCTCTGTAGCCAGTGCTGATGCGGTCTCACATGAAGCAACTAGAGCGGTGTGATTGCGGCTGCAGATGCCATATGCCCCAGGACCTGGGCCAGGAGCCTCTGAAACAATTTCAGTGGAACCACCGTCCTGCCCTTGAATTGATGATATAATAATAACATCATATATTTACGCAGTTTGTATGATTATATATACTCTCGATGCACTGATCACACATTGTATTAATGCAAAGACACATTTCAGTACATTGTTCCCACACACATTCAGGATGATGTTGTGATTTGTCGTGTATTTAGTAATTCTGAATGGATCCGTGTACTCCTGTTCGGTATCGCAACTTGACTTGTCTAAAATGTAAACAAACTCTTGTTGCGCTGCACACATACTATACACTGTGAATTCTCAAAAGTTTTTGCGGCAATATTTTTTTTCCCCCATAGGTGCTTCGGTGTGTATACATTTATGAATTAGATCTCCTTATATCATTTGGTTATTTGGTGTCCTTTTGGAGTCTCAAAGTGTCCTTTTTTGGAAAAACAAAACAAAATTTTTACCTTGAAAAAGCTTTAAAAATTTAATTCTGTTGACAGAAATATTATATTTCTCTTTTTTTAGCACAATATGGCAAACCCTACCCTAGCCCTACACTGTATTTTTGCCCTACAAAAGTCAGATGGGGTCCAGAGTGTAGCTGCAAAAAACAGACAAAAAACAACGACAAAAGAAAACGGGGAAACCAAATTGTTGGTGAATGAAAAATTCAGATGTCCTGAATGTGTGAGCTCTAGTGGGGTTGTAGTGGGGTGGTGTGAAGGTGGGAGTGAGCTGAGCAGTACCACTTCAGTGAGGGTCGGATCCTTTTCTAAGAACTGAACCACACAGTAGGCCAGCTGAAAGAGAAAAAGGTCAACAGTGATTGTGAATAGGTAATAAATAAGGGATAGTTTGTGCAAGCAATCAACCAGACAAGGATTTATGTTTAAGCATACTTATGAATAGAAAATTAAATGGGATGAATTCTAGTTGCCCAAAATCAGAGTCAGTCAGCAGATTTTGGGCAGTGAAAGTGGACAGATTTAACAGAAAATAATGCAGGGTATGATGGGCACAAATTCAGATTTTTTAAACTTTAGACCAGAGGCCTGTTGCATGAAGCTGGTTTCAGTTGATACCCAGGTAAGATTGAGCCAACTCTGGTTTTTCGTGCTCAAGAATGTAAAATGGTTTTTAGAGGTGCTATGGTAACTTATGCTACACGGGTAACCTGCTCCGGAGCAGCTTTTATTCTGGGTTAACAAGCAAAAATATGCAATTTGGTGCAAATACTGATATTTATATGCCCAAAAAGTGAGATGAAATTCTGGTAGCTTGTATTGTAATTCAATGAGACTTTTTATAACAGTAGAGGTGACTGCTTATAAAATGCACAAAAATATAAGTAAGTTGTCCCTATATCTCACAATAATACATCTTAGTAAGATGATATTTAAAGGTGCAGTAAGTGATTTCCGAGAAACACTGTTGACATTTGAAATCAACCCAAACAAACACAACCTCCCTTCATTGCTCCGCCCCCAAAATGCACAAGCACAAAATGCAAGAGTGGATGTGTCTTACAGCTGAAGCGAAGCAAAATAATGCTTTATGAAAAATAAAGCAGAGATGATACATACATACACAAGAGTAAATACAAGCAAGAGTTGGTTGTTAGTCGCCAGCAGCACATCAGCGCCAGACAAACAATGACACTCAAACTGTCCTGTTACTAGAGCTAGCATTACAACAACAGCATATCTTGGTTCTGTGATACATTACTCACGTATGGAGCAGAAACAACGCAACCAGTCTTCCTGCTTAGGTCTTTCCAGGTCTTTTTCCAGTGATATTCCTCTGACTTTTTCTCTGTTGTAATGTCTCTCTTTCTACAGTCTTTCTTCAAATCTCCCTCTTGCTCACTCTCTCTCCTCCTCTATCATGAGTGGACACGCCCCCTACTGCTGATTAGTGTGTAGTGTTCCTCAGTCCGATACACTTTCAACAGTGTTTCTCAGAAATCGCTTATTGCACCTTTAAATACTTAGTTTTATGATAAAATCCCTTGATAATTTAAAGGTTTTATAGGGTTAAGCACCAACTCTTTGTGTACCTGTGCGTGAAACAGTGCTAGTCCTTTGGCAGTGTGCAGAGGAATGAGGATCTTCATGAGGAACTGCTTGTGTTCAGCTTTCAGCGGCAGAGCGAAGCCATTGATGATACTGCGATTACAAAGACAGTGACACAACTGATGACATGGAGGCCCGAAATTAGATGACTGAAGCCAGTCAACACCAACATGCTGCTGCCAAAGGGTTCAGGCTGAACCTGGAGCCAAACAACCTTCTACCCAGCATGCATTCTGACTGCACTTATTCCATTAGATGACCTATGTGAACAGAAAATTAATAAATATGCATTAGCAAGGAAAGAAAATTAAACAAAACTCACCTGCCCAGAATCTCGAGGAATTCAGCAACTCCATTAAAGTGCTCAGTTTCATAGAGGTATCTGGGAAAATTATTGGGGCATCCATGAACAATTTACATTTCAAATAAAATATGAACATAAAATGAGAATTTATTTCTTTACTAAATGCACAATCCAAAATTCTTATTCTTACATTAAAGCTTCACAGACATTAATGTTGTGAGGGGAAAAAAAACATAAAACATTAAAAATGAATATTGTCTATTTGAATATTTTTATAACAATTTAAAATATTTCAATTTGAATATATTTTTAAAATGTGATTTATTCATATGTAGGGCTGGGTATCGAGTTCGATACGTTTTAGGCGCCGACCGAATCGCCTCGATGCCATCGAGTATCAAAAAAAGGTCTCGTCATGCAGTACCAAAATACCTGAGGGGTTAATCTTGTAGCACTTGTTTGCCAAGAAATTAAAGAGCTCGTTTTAATTTTTAATTTAAAGATAAAGAAATTGATTACCAGAAAAATAAATAAAATACACACACACAGACAAAAAGAAAACATTTCATAGGGCCCTATTATTGTATACAAATTAATAAATTAAGTTGTTTTTATGAATTCAATTAATTAGATATGTTTTTGATTAAACCATTAAAATGGAATGTAGACTAAAAAAATGTTGATTTGCTGCTCAAGAAACATTTATAATTAGTATCAATGTTAAAAACAGTTGTGCTGCTTCATATTGTTGTGGAAACCAGTTATTAAATTATTTAGGATTCAAAAGAACAGAATTGGTTTGAACCAGAAATCTTTTGTAACATTCTAACCCTCTTCACTGTCACTTTTGATCAATTGAATGTGTCCTTACCTCAGAAAAAGGTTGTTGATCTGTTTCCGAATAAAGGCACGCAAACCCAGAAACTTCCCGTAGATGCGATGCAGAATCGTTTTTAGAAACTCTCTCTCACGAGGATCTTCACTGTCAAACAGTTCTAAGAGCTGAAAAAAAGTGCAAAGAGTTAATTTTTCCATAACAAAACCATTCCTTACACAACGGAATAGTATGACACTTTATTTGTAGTCAAGATACTTGGATTATCTGGCTTTATAAAGCATGAAGAAAGCTACATAATGGCCTCGTTAACATTTGTTGTGTTAAGCCATTTGTTATTCTAGTTGTTTCATGAGAAAGCGATAAAACAGTTGTGAACATCACTTTAGAATCCATACAACTGTAGCAGCAGATGACTATTGCTGCATCCCAATTCACATACTATCCATCCTAAATAGGATTCAAAATTAGAATTAGTGTGTCCTAAATGAAATTAGTATTCCAAAGATACCCAGATGGTCTACTTTTTCCAGTTAGAATCCGAAGTGCAGATCAGTGCACACGCTAATGGCTAACACTGCCCAGTCCATTGGGCATTAAATGAGGATTCAATTGACCTATGGCTAAGCCACGCCCCCAAACGCGATGAGCCAATCAGTGCGCATAGCTAACCCAATAAACTCGGACATTCTCTGCTTCCACGTCCATTGAAATGCATTGCAGTTAGTCAGTTTTCATCAGTTGTTATATGTTTTTTCTTGTCATTTTAAGTTTAAAATGGTCAAACGGTGTGCATGGGGTACATGCAACTCCGACACTAGGTATCCCGAGGGGCAGGGCGACGGTGTGTATTTTTTACCCTTTCCCAAGCCACATCTCAACCGAGATAAGTGTCTAATCAGGATTAAGTTATGCGGTAACGTTAGACCACAACAACAACTAAATGTGGATAAATTAAACAAGGATGTCTACATCTGTTCTAAGTCAACAGCGTATTTGAACGTTATCTTTAACATCTCTAACGTAACGTTAGCTTAAAACGTTAACGTTAGCTTCTAGCTGCGTTGTACATCATGTCACTTAGCTTCATTAACGTATCTGTAAATAACCGAGATAACAAATTATAGCAATGTTGTGCTGAAAGATTCATGTAAATACTGCAGTGCATGAACAATGCTGATCCTCTATCTTGTTGTCTGAGATGGTGATGGCAACGAGATGCGGTTTATCACGTTTACACTGTGACCTGTAAATGTTTGCCTGGAGCTGAAGCTTTTCATCGACCTTATCAACAATAAAATGATTGATATAACCCTCCAATGCATAGTTAAGGCCCTTTTGGTGACTTCGAGATGATATATAATCTTTCTGTCTCCAAAAATCATCAATTGCCTCCTGTGAAATGTCTCCTACTGTGACAGCTGGCATAGCGCCTGTCACCGAATGTTGACTGTTTGTCCGAGTGAGTGGAGGGGGCGTGGCTTAGCCATAGGTCAATTAGAACTACAAACATGAATAAAAAGTGTGTTAAAAAAAATTCTACTAACATGGCGGATGTGCAAGAGCAACGGTTAAGTAGAGAGGTTTAGATAAAGGGGTTTGAGTGAGTAACAATCAGCATCGAACCTGACAAAAAAAAATTTTATTCAATGTTTTTTCACATTATATTTCATCTGCAAAAGCATTGCAAACATTTATAAAGATACGTCTGGTCATTAATTTAGGATTCACCACCTCTTTCCCCCGCATACGAGGAGCTGATGGAGGTTGTGACTCATGCTTTGGCCAAGCGTAATATCGACTGGCCATCAGAAAATCAGGATCCGTATAAGGAAAGCAAACTAGATGAGCGCTTCCTGATCAGTCGAGCGCAGCCTTCACATCGGGGCCCTTGCTTTCTTTCCTGATCTCCCAGATGAAATCTCGAGATCATGGGAAAGACCTCTCTCCTCATGCATAACGAGCCCTACTGTACATAATTATTCATCCATCCTGGGCTCGAAGGAGAACGGCTATGGGATGATGCCGCGGGTTAAAGATATCTCTCTCTAACTCAACATTGCGTCATCCCTGAAAGCCCTGTAACTTCCCACCAAACCCTGACGTAAAACTTCTAATTTGGTATGCACGGCTTGCATGGCAGCGGGTAGGGCTGGTGTGTGCCGGCACACTATGGCAATCATGCAGGCGTCCCAAGCCGACCTGCTCAGAGAGCTAGACGAGGGCGAAGAGGTAGTGCGGCTGATCGGTAGTTAATACTGCTCCATCTGAACACCAGAGAGCTCACGCAGACACGCCAAATATCCCTCGTGGCAGAAGTATAACAACACACGTCGCAATCATCGCTGTAGCTGAATAAACAGAAGATTGAAACGCTTTGATTAAACATGACTTCTAAACACACGACTGCCTTATTCTGTGTAAGAAGCCACATCATCTCACAGAAGGATGCTCAACTGTCGTTATGAAGTGAGTTTGGAGTAAAAGCATGTTATTAAATGTTGTCTTTTGTTGGACAAGAGGTTCATAAATGCTTCTCATATTTGAAAAGATGTTTGACGCGTGTTGCTTTTTCAAATGCACGTTATAAGTGACTCAAACTCACAGTGCTTTCAGATGGAGCAGCGTTTACAGAGCCGCACATCAATGACAAGCTGCGCATAAAGAAACAATCGCAGCCTTTGCGATTTCAAAATCGTGATAAGCCAACTGGATTTAAGTGCAATTACATGTAAACTGCGTGCAGTTAATCGTGCAGCCCTATAGTCCCAACAATATGCGTCGGGCAACCGACTTGTCTCTCCACGCCACTAAGAAGAAGGACCACACCATCGGCCGCTCCATGGCATCATTTGTAGTGGCAGAGAGGCATTCATGGTTGAACCAAAGAGAGAGATGGAGCGTTCCTTCTTGATGCCGGTCTGGGTCTCGCTGCCAGGGAGCGCTGGCACCACCCCGAGCCGGTGGAGTGGATCTGGAGGAAGTTTGGCTGAACGGAGGTGGATCTGTTTGCTTTTCTAAAGACCACCCATTGCCCACTATGGTTCTCCCTCATGCATCCAGCCATGGCACAGGCTTGGCCGAGGTAACGCCTGTAAGCATTTCCCACAATCGCTCTGATCCCGGGAGTTCTAGAGAGGGTCAGGCGGGATGGGATCAGTTTACTACTGGTAGCCCCGTTCTGGCCTAGTCTGGGTCTCAGGTTTCATAGTGCTCCTCGAAGGTACCTTAGGAGGGACCTTCTCTCGCAGGCCGGGGGAACGATCTATTATCTATCAGAACTGTGGAAGCTATGGGTCCATCATCCCCGGCCAGAACTGTGGAAGCTATGGGTCCATCATCCCCGGCCAGAACTGTGGAAGCTATGGGTCCATCATCCCCGGACAGAACTGTGGAAGCTATGGGTCCATCATCCCCGGGCAGAACTGTGGAAGCTATGGGTCCATCATCCCCGGCCAGAACTGTGGAAGCTATGGGTCCATCATCCCCGGCCAGAACTGTGGAAGCTATGGGTCCATCATCCCCGGGCAGAACTGTGGAAGCTATGGGTCCATCATCCCCGGGCAGAACTGTGGAAGCTATGGGTCCATCATCCCCGGCCAGAACTGTGGAAGCTATGGGTCCATCATCCCCGGCCAGAACTGTGGAAGCTATGGGTCCATCATCCCCGGGCAGAACTGTGGAAGCTATGGGTCCATCATCCCCGGGCAGAACTGTGGAAGCTATGGGTCCATCATCCCCGGGCAGAACTGTGGAAGCTATGGGTCCATCATCCCCGGGCAGAACTGTGGAAGCTATGGGTCCATCATCCCCGGCCAGAACTGTGGAAGCTATGGCTCTATCATCCCCGGGCAGAACTGTGGAAGCTATGGGTCCATCATCCCCGGGCAGAACTGTGGAAGCTATGGGTCCATCATCCCCGGGCAGAACTGTGGAAGCTATGGGTCCATCATCCCCGGCCAGAACTGTGGAAGCTATGGGTCCATCATCCCCGGGCAGAACTGTGGAAGCTATGGGTCCATCATCCCCGGGCAGAACTGTGGAAGCTATGGCTCTATCATCCCCGGACAGAACTGTGGAAGCTATGGGTCCATCATCCCCGGCCAGAACTGTGGAAGCTATGGCTCTATCATCCCCGGGCAGAACTGTGGAAGCTATGGGTCCATCATCCCCGGCCAGAACTCTGGAAGCAATGGGTCCATCATCCCCGGCCAGAACTGTGGAAGCTATGGGTCCATCATCCCCGGCCAGAACTGTGGAAGCTATGGCTCTATCATCCCCAGCCAGAACTGTGGAAGCAATGGGTCCATCATCCCCGGCCAGAACTGTGGAAGCTATGGGTCCATCATCCCCGGCCAGAACTGTGGAAGCTATGGCTCTATCATCCCCGGCCAGAACTGTGAGGAGGACCAGCTCTTAGGGGTTGGTCTCTCAATTGAGACCATTGTTGAGACCAGCCTAAACTCTAGAGCTCCCTCCATGAGGAAACTGTATGCCTTAAAGTGGAATGTGTTCACTTTATGGTGCAGCTAAAAGGGTTGTTTCATTCCCACCCACATGTAGAGATCGAATATTCAAGCTGTTTATGCATTTTCTACCTCTGAAAGTAAAAAAACGAATTTAGTTTTTTTTTGTCAATTTCAAATATTATTATCTTGTTTTTTTGTTGTTGTAATTTTCAAAATTCGAAAAACAAATAGTCTTCAATGCCATTCAAAGCAGTTGGTACCCATTTGAAACTCTTAATGGACCGTTTCATAGAATGGTTTTGATCCTGCAGCATCAACTGTTATGTCACGTTAGACTGTCTGCACAGGAATGTGTTATGTAATGCTACCTTTAGCCCCGAGTCAATGAATCCCTGTCATGAGAGATGTATTTGACAACAGCCTTTATGCAACATGACATTATTAGTAAATGAGTCTAACCTCAATCACATTCATGAGGACATTAATGATGTCTAAAACATTAGTCACTCTAAAAATCAAGATTCAAACAGGAGGAAAAATTTTCATCTTCCACATGCAGCACTTATTTCAATAGATCACTATGGAGAAGCTGGAATAAAAGACCAGCTGACCATAGCTTTATCACCCACTAGTGTTAAACTAAAGCAACTTCGAATGCAAATTTTCCTCAAGCGGTTAATTGATCATTAAGATCAAGAATTGTACTTCGTTACAAAAAAAAATGATATATCAAGTACATGCTGATTTTTCAATTCATCAAAGATTATTGAAGAAAAAAATATTAATAATATAATATGTTTCCACAAAAATATTAAGCAGCATAACTAGGCTATTTTTAACACTGATAATAACAAGAAATGCTTCTTAAGCATCAAATCAGTATATTAGTATGATTTTTGAAGAACACTGAAGACTGGAGTAATGATGCTGAAATTCAGCTTTGATCACAGGATTAAATTACATTTTAAATATATTATTTAGAAATCAGTTTTTTTTTAAATTGTAATAATATTTCCCAATATTGCTGTTTTAACTGTATTTTGATCAAATAAATGCGACTTCAGGGAGCATAAAAGACTAGCACACTGAGTGCTAGTGTGTATGTGGTGTCATTTTTCCCGTATTTGTAATCTTTCATAAAAAAAAATAACACCAATTAACAAAAAGATACATAACTAATAAATATAACAAATAAAATCGAGTTCCATCCTACATTTTTTCAACATCGTTGAATTTCCTTTTCACAAATATGAGTAGAAAATGCAGTTTCATTTGACTTTTCCATCTTTAAGCTTAAATGAGTAATTCCTGCACAACAGCATCTCCAAATGGAAAAATAATGCATCAGGGCATCAGTGAACGCTATCCACCACGTCGCTGCTAGAATGACTCTTTTTGTCTTGTGTCTGCTGTCTGTTTAACCCCCTGTCATTATGTTCTTCATCCCAGCCTGGACTGCAATGCTGCCTCTTTCCTTCCTGTGGCGTAAACAGGGCGCTATTTAAAGCAGCCCAGGAAACGCTCACATCATGGAAACTCGGCTTTACCACCTTCAACACTGACTCCACATTCCAGGGCATTCAGTGCGCTCAGGGGGAATGACCGGGTCGATATGGACAGCTGATGACCCAGCGGTTTACGCAGGGACAGGGACTGACTGAGGCAGGCCTGTCTCCAAGCATATCATTTCAGATTTCAAAATATTTTCTACTTCATTTGTAAATGTCAGAGTGGGAAATTAAATAGATTATGTGGTCTTCTAGGAAAAAAAAGCTTTCTTAATATTTTTCTAAAAATCCTCAAAACAGGATACATTTACTTCAGGATCACAACTGGTAAAACCGATATGACTTGTTTTGAGATAATATGTTGAATGATGCTGCGTTTCTTTTATTCCCATTGGAGCCAGAAAAACACCAAGTTGTTGCTTTTTAAGAATAAATCTCTCTATATGTAGAATTTGTTATTAGCAACACCTGTAACATGCAAGAGACTGAACGTGATTCAAAGACCCCGATATATTCACTCATATACCTTTTTGCAGTAATATACTGTTAGCGAACGTCCAGACTCCATCCACGCTGCTGAGAGTGATGTTTAGATGAATATGTAAATATGTGCTGCACGCTTTCCCCTCAATAACACAAACGACTGCTGTGAGAAAACGGCGGTTAAGAAAGCATCTGATCTTAGTGATGTGGATATGTTTGCACCAGCTCTGCAACATCATGTTGACAGATGAGGTCATTAAAGTATAATAAAGTATAATAGAGACTATAGACTATATAGATCTGGCTCTGTGAGACTATAGTTTGAATTAACACCATTTCTTTGCATGACATTACAGTACAGAATGGCTCTTTCTGCATTATCCTGAACATTGTATAAGCAATCGTTTCATGTGTCATTGAGCGGAAGAGAGGATCTCAGGAGCGTGTGTAAAAGTCACATCCTTTTGGTTTTCCCGTCAAAAACGTCCCGAGTGCTTCGCATAAAAATCAGTCTACAGTCTACTTTCATAGACTACCTAGGAAGTCGCGGATAGCCTCTTTTTTCTACGTTTCGTTTCAAACTGTTCACACATTGGCAATGAAAAAAAGCGATTAATACATGAAAATTCTTATTTATAGCCGTTTTAAGAGAGAAAAAAATATATATTTTATCTATTCAAGTCTTAATATTTCATGCAATATTGCTTCAGGTAAATTTATCCTGTTTTAAGACATTTTTTATATCTTTACTGCTCCTTTAAAACATGGCAAAAGCCCAGATTTTATTATTTTTATTTGTGTATTATATTTGTAGTTCATTAATTAATATAAAGCACATGTACCTGTAGCACAAACTTCTGGTCAATGTAACGTTTGGCAGTACTTGGCTGGAAGTCTGGATTTTCTAGGAATCGAAGGAAAAACTCGTACACCAACTGAAAAAATTAACAAAAAACAATTTAATGCTTCCAGCATGTAGAAACTGATATTAGAACATAGTAGGGCTGGGCGACCGTCATCAAAGTCAGGCAAGACAAGTTCCATGATTTGAACAATTATTACCTGTTAGAACATGCAAAAACGAAGACATTTCTATCAAGACACTTATTTTGTTAAGGAAAAAATACAGTGTAAAGAACTCAAAAATGCTTTGAATGTTCTACCTCAGATGTTCATGAAATGTTCACCTGTTTGGCCAGTGTTTGTCATGTTCTGACAATAAAGAGTAGTTAAAAAACACAATTGACAGTCTGGTTTCTACAACTTTCACTCAGGGGCAAAAATCTGCCATTAAACGTGAAAGAAAAAAGATCGGACATTTATCGTGACAATTATCGTTATCGACTGATTTGAAAAATTGTCTCATGATTTGTTTGGCCATATCACCCAGCCCTAGAACATATAGCTTAAAAACAAACATTCATTCAAACAAACAAACAAATGTAAGCAATGTAAATGAACTAGTGTATGTATTTACATCAACAATTATATTCTTTATAACCTTTACAAGCTGGTCTTATAGTCTTAAAGTTGACTCGTTTCATTTATTTACATGCATTGCGGTCTATGAGGTAAATGAAGTATAATAGTTCATAAATATTTACAATGTTAATATGCAAAGAATAAGCCACAAAACGTCAGAGCATCATCTAACCTGCATGTGAGGCCAGGAGGCCTCTAGAGTGGGTTCATCTTCTTCTGGGTCGAAGTCTGGGTTTTCACTGGGTGGAAGTGTTCGGAAAATATTTGTGCTAACCTGTGAACAAACAATTTGGACTTTGCTTTTGACTATAGATCACCAAGGAAAAGAGGATTATTTTTGCTAAAAACAAATACATTCATTTTAAAGATTGGTGGACATCACGTGAATGCTGACCATGGTGGTGATCTCGGGGTAGGCCGGCTCCACCAGAACCCCTCTGTTAGTGGACACATAATCCACGAGTTCACTGAGAGTGGCCCGTTTGGTCTCTTTATACTTTAGGTCAGTCACCGTGTCGTAGAAGTCGAAGATTACGCAGCACTGCTGTAGTTTCTGCATGAACAGCGCATGCTGCTCTGTGGAAGATGCATCTGAAACAGTGAAGAAATCATTTATTCATTCTACTGTACGGTCTAATTCAATAATCAACATTTTTATACACGAATGAGATCTATGGATTTGACTAATTTAAATCAAAAAGGCAAAGCAAAGCAAAACGCAAAAACAAAACAAAAAGCAAAGCAAAACACAAAAACAAAACAAAAAGCAAAGCAAAACACAAAAACAAAACAAAAAGCAAAGCAAAACGCAAAAACAAAAAGCAAAGCAAAACACAAAAACAAAACAAAAAGCAAAGCAAAACGCAAAAACAAAACAAAAAGCAAAGCAAAACACAAAAACAAAACAAAAAGCAAAGCAAAACGCAAAAACAAAACAAAAAGCAAAGCAAAACACAAAAACAAAACAAAAAGCAAAGCAAAACACAAAAACAAAACAAAAAGCAAAGCAAAACAGAAACAAAACAAAACAAAAAGCAAAGCAAAACACAAAAATAAAATAAAACAAAAAGCAAAGCAAAACGCAAAACAAAAAGCAAAGCAAAACAAATCAAAGTAAAACAAAAACATCAAAGAGATGTTATACTTTTAAGGCCAATTCACACAGCACCGCGAGACGGCAACACTTCGTGGGGATGTGTCGGATCAGTGCGTTACCCCTGTCGCAGTCTGTTGGCATCTGTCGGAGCTTGTTTTTGCCGATTGAACATGCAGAATCTGAATAAGAGTGTCTGAGAAGTGACGTGCTGTAGTCTGGTGGCGGTCTGAGTCTGTCGGTGCAGTGTGAACAGGCCTTTACAGTACATGATACTCAATGACCAGAACGTATCTGGACACATCCTTCAGATTTTGCCCTTTAATTTCAGTGAAGACAAGCCTGATTAAAAAGATGTTCTTACCGGAACATGGTAACATGACATAATTAAATATTTATTGCAACTAGGCCAAATAAAACAAAAAAGTCGGATTAAAAGACATTTAAAAAGCATTTACGCTTGACATTTAATTCAACTAGAAATCACACTCTTATTAAAACATGGTTGATGTTGCTATAGAAAAAGCACATGCAAGTCTTTGGTATCTTATAGTCCAATTATATTTGAGTGTGTGTAGTGTGTACATGCACTGAGCTCTCTGAATGCTTGAGTGGACTAGAATGTTGTAATCTACACCGTCGTGTGTCTAATTCCAGTAATCTGGATGAACGGGAGTAAGAATGGAGGCCATTCTACAGCGGGGCAGCTCAGAAACAAGATGTTATTGCACCAGTTCATGTTTAGTTTATACACAGATGCAATCAAAATTATTCAACCCAAATAAATGTTTCCGTCACACTTTATGTGCAAGTCGTTTTAATTCCTGCTTTAAAATAGTAAGCATAAGCAAACAGTTGTTTTTAGGTTTAGAATATAATGTTTGTATTTGAACCTTTTTTCTGCTCACATAGGCTAGATATTCACTAAATATGTTTTCATAGGCTTTTATATTACACATAGTTTGGAGGACAGCATTGGGCAGGATAGGGAATAAAATTGTTTAAGATCAAAATGTAAAAAAATAAAATAAAAAAAAGTTATTTATTTTTAATTACAATTTTTTAATTGTAAAAAAAAATATTTGTAATGTAATAGTTTTTTGATTTTTCATCCGATTGATCAAAAAAGTAATAGACTACTTGATTATCATAATAACCGTTAGTTGCAGCCCTACATCGGATAAAAAAATCGAATGTGTTACGTTTCAAATACGTTTTTTTTTTTATGTGCATTTCTAGAATTTATGAGCAACTTGCCATTTCCATTCAGCGTTTTTTTAATGCGATATCTTAAAATTTGCATAAAAATAGTTGTATGGAAACATCATGTCACTGCTTGCGCCTTCTTGTAGAGAAACATCACAGTAAATCAAACACAGAGAAACATTCCCACATGCATCCATTGTGTGCAGCAAAGAAAAATTACTTTCCATATGGCTTCAGAGCTCTTAGAATATAGTGTACGAGTCATATTTATTATGCCTTTATGGTCCGTGATCCACATTCATTCCTCATATGTTTCATATGTTGCTCTATCCTGTCGCCTGCAACCCCCGGGCCACCAGAGTTGGAAGAAGTACTTCGAAGGATCTTATCTTACATAATTCACTCTAATACCAGTGACCTCGGCTGGGTGAGTGACACATGAAGAGCCCGCTCAGAAAACTGCAGCATTTACTGAGGGTTAGAGCTTACTCACTATCATCCATCAAAACCATTTTACCACATGCATAGCCTATAAAGAATTTATAACATACTGTATATTCCTTCAAATGTAAGTGCCACAGGTTATGGACTTAATTTTAAGTTTTGATGGTCTATTTTCACATGGACTCTTGACTGTAATATAGATGGTAATGTAGTAAATATGACCCATGTCTACAACAAACACCGTTTACACCAATAATAAATCAACAGGGCTCTATAAATACCAGACGGACATTTAGTTGACATGAACTTTGACCGTGAACAGCATAAATAATTCGTGCTTCAATATGCTTCACTAAAAATCATTTCGCATTGTATTAAAATTCATTAATACAGGACACGGGAGGTTCACAAACTATCACTAGAAAAGTAGTTTTTTTGGACATGTACACTACTGTTCAAAAGTTGTTGGTTTTTAAAAGATATTAATACTTTCATTCAGCAAGAATGCATTAGATGACGAATACGCACAAGGACTCGGTGTGCAAGGACCTTAAGACTTTTACATTGTTACAAATAGTTTTAAATTGTAATAATATTTCACAATATTACATCAAACTTTTTTGTACAGTTGTGTACCATCACTAAACCATGGTACTGACAGACACAGTAGCTTTTTCTAAGTAAATCCAAACAGAGATAAAATGTATAAACACTAAAAAATCCCTTTTTTAATGTCTCCTAAAAGGTTTTCTTTCAGTTACTCGTGGCTCTTTTTATACCACATTTTAGCGCCACAGTCGATCTGCTTCAGGCCTCTGTAAACTTCAGCTCATGATGTTATTTTTGAGAGAACAGCAGTGTAAGCCACTCGCACTCGGAGCAGGAGGGGTTCAAACACAACACAACCCCGCTGCTGCTCTATTAATACACCTTATGCAACCGATCCGAATGCCAGTGGCCCTGTCTTTCCCAGACCACTTCTGCTTATAGAGTCACTGCATTCACCGCAAGCCACCGGATCAAATCAAGCCAACATCAGAAACGCTTTCATTGATTGCCTTACTTTTATTAGCCCCCGCGCACACATGCAAGAACACGCACAGGATGAGTCATTGAATTTGTTGAGGTTCCCATCAACACCCCGGGCGTGTGGTTGCCATGGCTACGTGGCCCGTCCCTGGAGAGTGATAATGTCAGTATATAGAGAATGTGACGCTGTCACGCTGCGTTGCATGCTGGGACGGCGCCTCCATCTCAGGAGGATCACCCTCTACTACTGATACTGATATTAATACAGATATACCTGCACCTTTCGTTTTGTTTTTACCTTTAAATACAATAATCACATTCCTCAATGGTAATTGTTGGTAGGGAAGAGAAGCTCTTTTATTGCATTGCATGATAGTTTGATGTTTTCACTAAAGTTTTGAAGTCGTGAACCGTATCATTCTCCACCCACAGTTCAGCACGCACTTGCACCGCGGTTCATCTCAAATCTGACAAACCATAATATGATTTGTTGAAAAAACAACAACACGTAAACCAGAAACACAGAGTTCGGCTAATCTATGTTTCTGTCGACGGATACACGTTCTTGCTTCCCAATACGAGAACGTCCCAAAAGAGAACTCGCACTCATCCGAAGCGCGCACAGAAAGCCGCGTCTCAGAGAGCGAGAACATATTGAGTTCTCTTTCAAATCTTGCGCTTGAACGGACAAGTTCACACAGAAATTGTCAACTTGCCCGTCTTGGCGAGTATTCTAGCAAACATAGTCGGTTTCGTCTTAAGTGAACGTAAACGGTCAAGAAAGACAACGCACGGGCATTAATTGGATCCGTGCATTATATCTTAAAGTGACAGGAGACTAATATTCCTGCTGTCTGTGTTTAATGTTAAAGGGGTGGTATAATGCCCTTTTCACAAGATGTAAATTAAGTCTCTGATGTCCCCAGAGTGTGTATGTGAAGTTTTAGCTCAAAATACCCCACAGATATTTTTATATATCGTGTTAAAATTGTCACTTTTAGAGGGTGAGCAAAAACGCACCGTTTTTGTGTGTGTCCCTTTAAATGCAAATGAGCTGCAGCTCCCGGCACAGGGGGCGGAGTTTCAACAGCTTGTGTCCTTCTACCTCACACACACACGCACTAAAAATTTCTAAAACTTTTATCCTTTTATGTTTAAATCGGAGTCAGACAATGATGGAGAGACTCGAGAAGAAGTGACATGTAGAAGCAACAGGACATTTCTGAATGGTTAGTTGATGAATAGTTCTAGTCATTGATTAGCATATTCAGTCATCATAATCTATAAATCGCGTTCCCGGGGGCGGGGTTAATGTAAATTTTAGGGTTTGTGATGTCACTAACCCGGGAGGAATGTTGTGTAGTTCCTACCAGCCGTTTGTTGTAGTCCTTAAAAAGCAATTTCTTTAAAAGAAAATATCTCCCTTTTCTTTGAACTTTGAGCGTCGTAAATTTGCAGATGTTGTTTATGCTCAAACAGCAACATTACACACTAACTAAAGTTAGAAAAGTGAAATCATAATCAACCACCCCTTTAACCAAACAACAAAAGACAAAGAGATCACTCAGTGCTCTTGACTCAACAGCTTTTGTAACTTTAATAAGAATGACTCTTTAATTTATACAGTCAAATATGCAATGTTACATGTGATTACTTTATTCAATTTCTGCACCTGAAATCTACTGTTAGATACCTGATTTATTTGTATCTTTGTAACTTTATTATTTGTATCTTTGCTCTTTTGTATTTATTTGTGCGGTTGCATATGGTTTGATTATTTTTTCTTATTTTCTTTATTTGACAGTAGTCCTTTTTTCCCTAAACATACCAAACCGTACTAAAACCGTGACCCTAAAACCGTGATACAAACCAAACCGTGAGTAATTTGATCCGTTACACTCCAACTGTTCACTATGAAAACACTGCCCCATGCTAGACGCTCGCTGCTGCTTCAGCCGTCACACTAGAAATGTCCAAATCAAAATGTGTACAATAAGCTGATCATGTCTTTGTTGGAAACGTTTATAGAAGTTTGTTGTCACTGTAAACATTCACTTTCGCATGGCCACGGAGGGATATCAGAGATTGTGTGTCCCATTCAGCAGACAGACACCGACACACTGTTTTTTTTTCTATATTTATTTCAACACACGACAACCAAAATCAAATCTCTTGAAGCTTGAAACAGTTTTACGGTGGCTGTCTGTAAGTTCTGCTAATTCACAAGCAAATAAACTGAGTCATACTCAAAGGTAATGTTTAACCAAACACAATACAAAACTTCCAAAAACTCTCAGCAGTGTGATTGTTTTATTGAGTGATAGCCTATGCATTGGGTTTAATCGGTGACAGATTTAATAGATTTGCTATCCGGCGAATCTTCTCGTCTCACACTCAAACTGCTTCCCTTAAAGGGATACTCCACTTTTAAAGAGTTAAACTGTTGAGTTTTACCGTTTTTGAGTCCATTCAGCCGATCTCCGGTTCTGGCGGTACCACTTTTAGCATAGCTTAGCATACATCATTGAAGTGGACAAGACCATTAGCATTGATATGACGCAGCACCTGAAAATAGGCCACCTTCTGTCAACACAACGGGACTATTTTCAGGCGCTGCGTCATATCATTACGCCTGCTGCTCTCATGGTACGGCATTGAAGTTTCTTGATTATTACGCAGGAATGAGAGTATAGTTCCTAGCCATTTCAGCCTAGAAAATCGCAACTTTACATTTTCCATCGGTCTTAGTGCACGATGTAACCACAGAAGAGTCAAGTTTTAAATAGGAAAAATATCGAAACTCTTTGGTCATATTTTTTTTTAGAAATGCTAATGGTCTTGTCCACTTCAATGATGTATGCTAAGCGATGCTAAAAGTGGTACCGCCAGAACCAGAGATCGGCTGAATGGATTCAAAAACGGTAAAACGCAACAGTTTACCTCTGGGGGAGTTGTAAAATGAGCCTATTTCCAAAAAAAGTGGAGTATCCCTTTAATGCTTTTACACGTAGAAAAGGCGAAAAAACGTATATGACATAGTCCCGTTTTCTCTCTGAACGAAGATGTGACCCAGATAGAAAATGATATCTGGGCCAGTTGTGGCCCACATCTCCCACATTCTTCTGGCAGTGGTCACATGGGCCACCTCTGGACCACATACAGCAAACCACAACTCACACTCAAACCAGCTTGATGTGTGTGGGCCAGATACGGCATATTGCCGCCAATGCCATAGTAACTCCACAGATAGCATACCTATCCGGGCCTTATCTGGCCCAAATCAATCAAGGAGCCATTGGCTCCTATAAGGGGGAATAAAATAGGTGCCAAATTATTTTCTTTAAGTGCCACAAAATAATAAACATGTTTTAATTTTGTCACGTGTTGTCACGTCTGCCCTCCTTTTACAGCATCAGCATTTTCATCTATCTTGTGGATGTCCTGGGAAATAACATTCATTCACTTATAGTAGGAACTAAATGGCTTTTCTAACTACATACAGTCACACAGAATTGTTCTTTACGCAGAATCTGAACCAGTGTCGCAGACCATCACCATAATAACGTCAGCATCACTTGGCCAACGAGTATAGTTTGGCCTCCTCCTCTTAGGCATGCGTCTGTCAAGAATGACAATGCTTGGGTAGTACACATTAGTCCATGTTGGTTAACTTCAACCATCTTTCCCTCAACTTTAGAAGGTTGTTGGCGTGGTCTAGTTGTCTTCCTTTGTGAAGTTGAGCCCTCCACTGATCCCGATTCCTTGATGCTACGGTCCATGATTCAGGTTGAATGCCAAAGTCCTTGGCCTCCTCCTAATGCATCCTATAAACACTGTGTGTGTGTGTGCGCAAGACATACGACAATCTTATTCTTCTTCATGAATATCTGAGGTAAATTTGGTGAAAGGCAGCTCTTTATATGCAATATTATGAGCAGTGTTGAATTTCATTTTTAGCTCCTTCCGTTCTTTCTCATGTAGACAACAGGTAAAGTACAGTCTTTGTGTCCGATTTTCAAATACTTTATTACTTCAAATCAAAGTTTTTAATGTTGTGAATTTAACCTTGTACATGCCTGCTATGGCTTTTATAACTCTTTAACCAAGACTTTTTCAAAATCCCTATGGAAAAAAAAATAGTTCTGGGACCAAGGCCACCGAAAAAGTGGGCGGGCACTGTTGCACTCTATTGACAGATTTACAGAACTGACAACCACGTGACTTCCAAAGGCAAAAATAAGAGGACAGGAAGTGTGCGAAAACACAGGTTAGACCACGAAATAAAGATGCTTCCCTTGATAAGAAGAGGCTCGGAGACATAATGTTGACACAATTGGTGCTTACAGTCTACACCCAAACACACTCACATGAGTCTCCCAGCAGACAGTTATGGGCCTGCTGTAAATACTTCACTTGAAGCTTATCAGAGATACAAATAGGTAACTTTAAAAGCCTGATTAAAACATTCATGCGTGTTTTATTATAGTTTATTAGTTGTAGCTGTTACTTTTTAAAGCATTGTAGGCACCACAACGCTGTCTAGGTGAGTTAGGCAGCTCGCACGGGTTTGAGACGGAGCCTGAGAGTCTATTTCCAGGCTTTATCCTCTTACCTTTGAGCTGCGGGAGCGCCGAGATCTCGGGAGCCGCGGGCCTGCTGCTGTTCACCGCGAACTGAGACGAGCCCTGCGCCCGCTGTCTCTGAGCCTTCCTCACAGACTTCCGCGTGAATCCGTCCACTTTCTCGGCCGCGGATATCGCCGACATTTCCAAAGCAGGTCTATCCAACGAGCTGCGTTTACAGTGTCCGTGTGAGCCCTAAACGTGTTCAATTCTGACTGACATCCCATTGACTGCGCTGTAACACATCAAACTCACCAGACCCCATCCAACGACACGCACTGTCGGCACTCATGAAGGCTGCATGCTCTCCAAAAACACACAGGTGTCCTGCGATGATGATTTTTGGTGACGTGTAAATGTAAACACGTAGTTAACAGTAGTTTTTTATCATTCTGAGTGCCTCAATAAACCTGTTACTCCACATAACCGAACTCAAACTCAAGACGACACACAACCGAAACACTGAGTCATGATTATCCATTCGCTTGACACCGGCTCCATGTATAACCGAAGCGAGGAAAGAGTTTAAATGTGAATCCGCAGGGCCGTAAAATTCCTCTGATCCGCTGAACTTCATTCAACCGCTGTTACGCCTCACTGGGGTCTAAATTTAATAAAGTCCCGTGGCGCGCTTGAGAGACAGAAGATTCATCCAATGACCGTTCGAGAAAATAGTAAGCCCCGCCCATTGACCAATCAGATTCTTGTTTTAATGGTATTTTGGGAAATACAGTCAGGAGGTTCTGTATCCTTGAACTCTCACAAACAAACGTTAAACCACTCAACATAATAAATATATTTAATAATAATGATAAAAAAAAAAGTGAACAAATAAGTACAAAATTTCAACGATTGCTCACAAAATAACAGTAAGTTTGTAAGACTTGTAGCCTAAACGAGTCAGTTAAAGGAACAGCTCACCCCAAAATGAACTCGAAATACAAAAATGCGGAGATAAACAAAACATTGCTCTCCCTGTTCCAAACCTGTACGACTTTCTTCTTTGGAACAGAAAATGTGAGAATGTTACTGATTCAGTCAACTTTTACTTTACTGCATCGTTTTTGACCAGAAGTGGAATGACTGTCTTTTTACATAATCTCCTTTACAAAGAAGAAAGGCACATGGGTTTGAAAATTCACATTTCTGCTAACAATATTAGTATATTAAAAGGCATATTTTAATTTGAAATGAGTTATAGTTAAAACTGAACTTCAAGGGATAGTTCACCCAAAAATTTGTCTTTTACTCACCCTCATGTTGTTCCAAACCTGAGTTTCTTTCTTCTTTTGAACACAAAACCAGATTTTAAAGAATGTTAGCAACCAGACAGTTGACGGTAGCCATCGACTTCCATAGTACTTTTTTCCTACTATGCAAGTCAATGGCTACAGGCAACTGTTTTGTTACCAACATTCTTCAGAATATGTTCTTTTGTGTTTAAAAGATGAAAGAAACTCATACGGTTTGGAACATGAGGGTGAGTAAACGACAAAAATGTCAATTGTGGGTGAATTATCGCTTTCATTTCTAAAGCAGAATAGTTTTGATCAACTATGCTGATGACCTCAGGCAAAAACAAGCAAAACAAGAACTAGTAGGATCAAAACACAGAAGCAGAACTGTCAGGTCAAGTCACATTCCGGACGAACCTGCAAATCATGTAAACTTAAAAGAAGAGAAAAAAGGACTATTGTGTACAGTACAATGCAAAAAGTGTTCAAATCATTTTTAAACTCACTGCAATATTGATATTCAATAACTAAAAGGCACTGTACAAATTGAAAATGGGTTAGTTATGTAAAGTGCTGCTTTACAATCAATATAAAACTCTGAAAATGTGACCCCACGTTTAAGGACAGACATGCTCAAATAAGAGGCATTATACATTTGGAAAGCTAAAAAAAAAAAAAATTATGAAGTACAAACTATGCTTATTAGACTTACTTAGAATTTGATATAAATGCAAATGCTTTAAAATGCATGTTACATCGAATAAAGTGTCTACAAAAAAACTATTTTCAATGCATCACAGATAGACATGGAAGATTCAGAGAACTTGTAGAGTTTAATTATGGTGTCAAATGACATTTAGTTGTGTAATGTTCACAAATTATTATCAATTTGACCCTTCTCTAGGAAATTAAACTTACATTTAAAAACATACAACTAGATTAAAAAAAATATACACATTACATACATAAATACAAGTAGTATCTGCATATTTGCTTTGTCTAATGAAAACCTGGACTTAATGTGTCGTATGTTAGACACTTTACTCTCTCCCTACACAGGAATCAGTCTTGGGTTCTTTTCATAAAGTAGCTAGAGATTTTTTTCATAGGTCTGGAGGGTGATGCTTTCTTGTGTGGCGTTGGAGAGATGACCGTCATGGGACGCGGTGATATTGCTGCCTAAAAAGACAAAAGATATGATATGATCATTTGGCCACAAAAAAAAAAAATATATATATATTTTAGAGAACGATTCAGAACTACTAAAACATTAAGGTTCTGGAAGTAAAAGTCCCATTTTAGGGTATGTTCACATTTGTCAGGTCCCTGCTCCATTTTACCACAAAGATAGTTTGACAGGTCTTGAAAATTACCTGGATCTGTGATTCGGACCAAAAGGACCAAGAGAACCGAACTACAAGTTCCCAAAACAGATTGAACAATTAGCTTCAAAAGGTTTTTCTTTGAAATGAATATTTATAAAATTATTATTCATATTTATTTCTTTATATATAAACACTGCAGCTCACTCCGAGCTCTTGATCAAACTATGCACACATTTGTTCAATTTATTGTTGAGAGGAAAACCCCTTGAGATGTGATCTCGTTTTCGAGGTGAGCTAAAAAAAAAAAAGATAAATATTACAAATAAATAAAAAAATCTATTTGAACACATTTTTAAATGTAATTTTTCCCAGTGATCAAAGCTGAATTTTCAGCATCATTCCTCCAGTCTTCAGTGTCACATGATCCTCCAGTAATGAGCAGCAAATATGCGGATCTCTTATTAGTTGTGCTGCTTAATATTTTTGTGGAAACTGATACATTTATTTGATTCTCAGTGATTCTCTGATAAAAAGAACAATCAAAAGTACAGCATTTGTTTGAAATACTTAAGACTTGATCATTTATTGCATCCTTGCTGAATAAAAGTTAATATCTAAAAAAAACTATTCTGTGTATAAATCAATCGGCTTTATAATAACTGTATGCTTGTTTGATCAAAAGCAATGCTTTGTGGGTTATGTAGTTAAATGCCACAACAAGACAGTCTTTCTGATTTTTTTAATTTTCAAATCAATGTTTGTAATGTTGCAATTGATATAATCTTGGAGTTGGTTTGTTTGGTTCATGGCTCAGAATGCTATTGATTTATCTATATGGAGAAAAAAAAAAAATCTGGATCCAAGGGCACTGAAACAGTGGACAAACGTGTCTGATTATATCAAGTGTGACTGCAAGTGATGTATTTTCATGCATCTACTCACTGGAGCGCTGTGTGTTCTTGCATCCTGCCGTTTGCTGCTGCCGTTTGGGCTTTTGGGTTGAGTCGATCCTTTAAATCTCTGACTGATCACCGACAGCCAATCATTCCTTCTCGGAGAGCTGTTCTCTTTGCCAGCGCCGGCTTGACCAGTCGAGCAGAGCCTCTCATCGGTCTGCAAACTGAATAGGTCCCCTTTCTCCTCAGAACAGTTCTCCGCGCTCACCGAACTCCTGCTCCGCTTAACGTCGGGATACAATTCAGACACCCCTTCACTCTCCCCTCCCAAACCAGATCTAGCGCAATCCCCCGTCTCCAGCCGTCGCTTTGCACGGCGCTCTGATGAAGGGCCCTGGAGGACTGGCGTGAGCACCTTACGGAGAGGAGATGTGCCCTGGTGACCCGGGGAACTGCTGCGGCTGAACCACTGCTGGATAGACGAGGGGATTTTGGGGCTGCTGAGCTTGGCTGAAGGTGCAGAGGTGTTGGATGGTAGGGGTAAATCAGCACCCGTAGGGGCACAAGAAGCAGGCTGGGGTGAAGCCAGAGAGACCACCCTCTCTGAACCAGGACTTTTGGCTGGAGTGAGCTCAACGGGGCTGTAACGGCCTGAGGAGACGAATCAGAACTCATCAAGAAACCAAATATTTCAATTATGAATTATAGCTATATGCTACCGCTCAAAAGTTTGGGATAATTAAGAATTTCACATTTATTTTATCAAAAAAATACAGTAAAATAGTAACATTGTAAAATATTACAATTTAAAAAGGAACAGTTTCCTATTTGAATAGATTTTAAAAAAGTGATTTATGGTGTCACATGATCTAATATGATGATTTAATGCTAAAAAAAACATGTCTTATCAATGTTGAAAACAGTTGTGCTGCTTAATACTTGTGTAAACTATGATAAAGTACAATTTGAAACTGGGGTAAGAGGTTTTTTTTAAAGGAAGTACTTTTATTCACATTAAATCGAACAAAAGGTGACAGTAAAGAGATTCTCAAGATTACTATAGATTTCTAGTTCTAGTTCTTTTGAGTCTTTCATTCATCAAAGAATCCTGAAAAAATGTATCAGTTTCCACAAAAATATTAAGCATCAAACTGCAACATTGATATTATTAACAATAATAACTGACCATTATTAAATCTAATACCAATAATAACGGATTCATGAAATTAGCATTTTAAAATGATTTCTGTGAAACTGAAAATTTTGCTTTGCCATCACAGGAATAAATCACTTTTTAAAATATATAAAAATTCTGTGTTTTAAATTGCAATAATAATATTTCCAAATATTACCATTTTGCTGTATTTAATATTAGATTTAATCAAATAAATGCCGCCTTGAGCATAAAAGGCTTCTTTCAAAAAAACGATTTATTCCAAACGTTTGATTGGTTTTTACACATTTAAAAAAAATATGTAAAAAAACAACTTCACTAAAAACCCTACCAGGTGTTCTGGTTGGTGACTGGACTTTACGAAGTGTCCAGCCTACGATGTTTGCGCCTCGGTTCGATGAGTTTTCGCTCTCTGGTCTGCGGTTCAGGCGCCAAATCCTAACGGTGTTGTCATCAGAACAGGAAGCGATCTGCAGAGAAAGCGATGGATATTAAAAAAACAATATAAAACTTCAGTTTCATCAATCAGATACTTTTATTTCACGTGCACTTTTAAGGGCTAACCTTGGTGAAATCGGTGGGGCACCAGGCCACTGATGTGACTTCCTGACTATGGCCCTGAAGCATCATGGGAGCTTGTTTTGGGTCTGAAATCTGAAACAAAAGCAAATCAGAAAGTTGTGTGCAGATAGTGACCACAGATGTCCTCGGGCAGACTTTAAGATACTCGGATCTCTAATTTTCGAAGTTATTCATTACCTTCCATATGTAAGCTTGATGGTCACTCGAACCACTGGCCAGGAACTGGTCATCTGGGCTGACACTGGACTTCACATAAAATGAGGAGTTACTGTGGCCACTGAACACAGCAACTGTGAAAAAGAACAAATGTAAAAGCTCAGTCTCAGAAACGGAGAGAGAAAACAAATACATCAGACACAGCAAGTATTAAATAATAAATTGTCCTTACCTGGAGTGGTTTTCAAACCACTGATATTGAACATGTAGATATTGTCATCTGTGCAGTTGGAGAACAGTCTGGAGCCAGTAGAGTCCAGTGACAGACCAGAATATCCTGCGGAGGAAAACATCAGTGAAAACTCAACTGCTCATTACCATTGGCCTAATGACCGAGTGGACGTGAGCCGTGTACCTAGTTTGCGTGTGCAGGAGCCTGGGTAAGGATAGGTCTGTAGAGGGAGGGGGTTGTGGTAGTACGCGGTGTAGTTCTTCCGCAAATCCCACATTTTAATGATCCTATGACGAGATCAGAATGTTATTGGGAGATTTCATCTCGGCACCGTCAGCATTCAAATTACAGCCGGAGATGAAATTGAAAAGCGTGACTATTATTGTGTGACATCCACGGACAAAAAAAGTTCAGAATCATGTATAAAATAACGAAGAAATCTGTACAGGACTGCATCATGCACTCACCCGTCGACCGCTCCCGAGGAGATGAGCTTGTTCTCGTCGCAGAACAGAACCACCGTCACACCCTGCTGGGAGTCCTACACACACACACACAACAGCTCTGAATTAGCAAAAATGGAACTTCAACTGTATTATCTTTAATAAAAAGATAGGGGTGTGCGATAGAGATGCGCGGTTGGCGGTTACAGCCGCGGATAAACCGCGGATCGGGCGGATGACGTGACAAAAAAAATATTTTAATTAAATTCGGGCGGGTGGCGGGCGGTTGAACCAATCAAATGAAAAATATATGTATACATTGTTAAATATTGTTATCTGACTATACCTACAACCAAAAAAAAATTCTGGTAAAGGATTCCACCAAGTGGCCCAGATGTTGATTGACATTGGAGCTAAGTTCGGTGCTGTTGACGCTGGACGAGCCTGTTCTGAAGACTCCCGTTAATTTTGAATGCACGGGAAGAGAGCGGAGAGCGCGTCTTTTTAAGGCACAGTGCAATTCATTTTATACCATCAACAGGCCTAACAATCATATAATAAACTAGTAAAGAGCCTCAATATTAAAGAAACGCCGAAGTCAGTGCTTGTTTGTTGGTGCGCCATCAGCTATAACTACAAAAGACAGATGAAATCTAATATTAATAATTGATCCATGTCGGTATACACAGGCTAAAATTTTATAATGAAAAATAGCCTACACAATCAAGATAGACTATTTACTTTTTATTTATTAAATCCAGGAAATTGGTTAATGAAACATGGATTAAAATTAAGATACAATTAATACAAAACGAAATTCGCTTTAAAGAAAGGCTTTGTGCTTCTGTTTGAGGTCTCTGAAAGCGGCACTAAAAGACTTTCACAGAGTGGTCGCGACCGTCGCGTCCGTAATGGAGAACTGTCACGTAACATTGTTGGCGCCCCATACAATAGCAGCATGTTGAAATTATGTGCCAAAATGCGTTTTCTATTAGGCTACAATGAAAATATTGTACAGTAGCCTATCAGATAAGGTCAGGTTTGCCGAAGTGCGTTTAATTTAGGCTATTTGTTTATTTTTGTCCCTGCGCGCCGATCGGAGACGGAGTTCACTGCTGATATTCTGAGAGCTTTCTAGTCTCGCGGCTGTCATCAGCAGCGCCTTGTATCGCCCAATCAGCGGATGGCAGGCGGGTGCGATTTTGAAAATCAGTCAAAAACGTTGGTGCGGATGGATGGCGGACGGATGATGAGTTTTGTGATGCGGTTGCGGATGAAATAATAGCCCATCCGCGCATCTCTAGTGTGCGACATGGACAAAAAAACCTCTATATTTTCTAGGATTTTGTTGATGACCGTGATCAGATGATACTTTGCTGAGTGTGTTATTGTGTTGTTATTGTGCAGGTTTTGGACTGCCGTGGACAGCAGACTCTTAAGTTTTTGCTATCATATTTTGTGCGGTGGTTAGTTTGTAGCAGTGACAAATTAATTCCCAATAAGTTGAAATTGATTTTTCCCTTTATATTAATCAGATATTTTTTTTGTGCCAATTAAAACGGACCTAAGCAAACAATAGCTTCTGTGAACGGAGCCGCTCTGAGACGCATGTAAATAATTAAAGCACTCAATAGCATATCTATAATGTAGTTTTTAAAATGGTTAATACATCGTGCAGCCTTAGAAAACGGTCTAATAATGCAGTTCATGGATCCTCGACTGTGGAATGCGCCACTTCCGGTATTTTGCTGGTTTCTCGACATGGCTAAATTGCAATCGAGTACTCTGATTTAACCGAGGAATCGTGACAGCCCTACAAATGATATAAATCTAGCCTAAAAGACAAATACTCATAGTATTTATAAATGCATTTTAATGAAAGCCTGCACTCTAAAATTAATGTCAGGTTGTGAGGGACATACTCGATAATGTCAGATTGCACATCATTAAAACAATTAGGATATCAAAGATGAAATATATAGCACACCCCTAATCACAGAGAATTCTCATAAAATATATTGGCTATAAGATAACCCAATACCTAAAAAAACAGCAGGCAAATTAATGTCAGGTCGTTTGACTCACCACAGGGGGCGCCATCCCACGTCTCTTCTTGTTTTGAGGTGTATATCTTTCAGGTTTCATATGGGCACCACTGATCTGTTTTACTTGCCTGTAGAAACCATCTGTGATGGATGAAAACATTTTCGGTGAGCTTTAGAAAACATTTCAACGGCCCCATTATTAAGGATCGGTGGTCGGAATAACAAAGAACCTTTTTTACTGCATCTTGTATCCCAAATCATGATGTTCCCATCTCTGCCTCCAGTGCTAAACACAGCTGTAATGAGAGAAGACGTTTATAAAAAATAAAATAAAAATCTAGAAAAGAAATTAGCAAGTATGCAGTGCACATTCATTCATTCATGCCTATTATTCGGTTATTTTTAGCATAGTTTATGCTCTATTATAATGTTTTTGACTTTTTCATTTTAATTTTAGATTAAGTTTTAGTCATTTTGTGCTTCATACAAACAGTCTTTTTAATATTTCTATTTCAGTAATTTTAGCACTTCAACGTCTTTCAGTTAGCTGCCAAGGTGGTTTTACACAAGTATGCCTCAATTACTGGTAGTCAGTCAAATAAATGTGTCAAGAAAGATGTTACAAAAAGTTTATTACCGGTATATCTGGTTAAGTGTCACTAAAATAGGAGTTAAAATGGGTGCACTGCATTATGGGATACAGTCTCATTATACTGCACATGGCAAAAATAGTAAGTCATATGTCATGCACATATAATTTGCATTGCACATACTGAACAGTAATATTATTCAGTCTTATGTGATGGGTAGAGTCAGTTACCTCTCTCTTGCTTGGAAAAAGCCACCGATTTAAGACTGCATTGATGTCCTTTAAAAGTTCCCAGCAGGTCAGCAGTGATAACATCCCACAGACGGGCGGTTTGGTCACCAGAGGCGGTTACCTGTAAAATAACATTCACATTTAAAGCAATACTTAATATTTATAAAAACACAGAAGATTTCATTTAGTCCAAAGCACTGAACCCATCATTAAACAGAGGAATCATGCAAAACTTACCAAGCTGTTTGTACCAGGAACCCAGGCAATATCAAAAACAGCATTATCATGTGCCTGCCACTCTGCAAAAACAAATGTTTCACAAATATTAATAAATGCTATGCTTTACATTAGTAGCCAGTCTTGAATCTAGGTACCAACCTTTCAGGACAGAGCTCTGTTTTTCTCTGGTATTAAAGATGGTCACAAACCCTTCTTCATTTGCAACAGCAAGGCTGTTCTGTTGGCCAGGAGCTGAGCATTGCAAAACAAGGTTACTCATATACACTCGTTTGTTTCTGACTACATGTGAACTCAGTGTGAATGTTTAATTAAGGGTGTACCAGAGGAAAACGTGCATCCAAACGGCGGGACAGCAGCAGCCGAGGCTCCATATGAAATGTGTTCGTCCTGTCGCGCGCACTGATACCCGTCCAGCAGAGAGGACAGCGGATAGACTCGACGCTCGCCTGCTTATTAAAGCATGTTTGAGTGAGTAAACAGCGTAATAACATAGATACCCACTGACATATCCTTCTAGCACTCACCATTGAACCGTCTTTTTATAACTCCTCGATCAACAACATGGTGAAAAAGAGTCATTGCTCCTGCTGGATAGACGTTTCATTCAGAAGTGGTCAGTTTCCCGCGAACAATGAAAAAGCGGAAAAGACGAATTCCGCGCGAGATTGACGTTCGCTGTTCTGATTGGTCGATACGTCAGAATACCGGAAGTGTTGAGGCCCTATGGTTGAGGCGCACAGAGTGGAATGGCTGCTGGTTTACAAAGCTTGCCACCAGAGGCACTCTGTGGCCCAGGACGTGCCAATGTAACATTTAACCTCATTTGCAGATTTTCTTTATTTTTCTTTATTTTTTGGGATGCTTTAGTATCCAGATAAACAAATAAATCCAGAAGCATCTATTGTTTTGGAAAAAAAAATCCATTAGTTTCACTGTTTATCACAATTTATGGAAGCCCATTTCCGCAACATAAGAAAAAAATGCTTAGATATTATAAAAGTGAATATTATTTATGACTGTCATAAGACTGTATTAAGACTTTATGACATACTAAAAAAAAACATAATTGTGATATGAAAAGTTACTAAGCCTTAATTGTAATTAGAATATATATATATATATATATATATATATATATATATATATATATATATAAAAAGTTCTTCATTTGTGTCATTATTTCAACCTTTTATCTCATAATTATGATTTCGTAACTCAGAATTTTTATGTCATAATTATGATTTACCAAAGCATGATTTGTTTTTATTATTTGGCTGAAATTGGTGTCGATGCTATTTAATTTGTCTATTAGAGGGGAAATGATTTGCATGTAACTAGCTATTTATGCTATTTTTTTATTTGTAAGAATGAAGACTATTTCTGGATGTGATTTACAACGCAAAAATCAACATTAATGCTATTTTTATTAATTAATTATTTTTACCACACGTGTAACTAACATGAAATAATATTTATTATAGATAAATGAATAAATAAATAAATAAATAAGAGCAAACGGATTTTTACCATAGACTGTAAAACATTTTTTACAGAGCCGTTTTACATAAAGAGACTGAGACCAATCGGAGTTAACGCCGACACATAGGCCCCGCCCACTTTGGAAACCTGACGCAACATCCTTCCTGGCCACGTGACGTGCACTGCAGCCGGGTCACCCACTTCAAACTGCATGCACCAAGTCTATATAATCTAACGAATAAAGCATTGATTAAAAAAAGCAGTATATCTTTTCTCGTAGTCTTGTCATAAATAATGTCGCTCTCCGCAGCGCGCTCGTTTCTGTCGGAGGCCGCTTACGGCGAGCAGGAGCTGGACGCCAATTCAGCGCTGATGGAGCTTGATAAAGGTGCTTCTTCATAAACAACACAGAGCATGCATGACTGTTTTCATTCAATTATACGTGCCTTATATCATATACGCTCTATCTGATATCTGATTGTTTACATTCAGAGAACATGAAATCTGTAGATATCCTACCAATGTAACGTTAATGAAAAAAATCCTGTTGTTATTTTTGCACAACTAAAGGTTTAAGGTCTTGTAAGCTGGGCGAGCAATGTGAAGCCGTGGTCCTTTTCCCCAAACTCTTCCAGAAGTATCCCTTTCCCATCCTCATCAACTCAGCCTTCCTGAAACTGGCAGACATCTTTAGACTTGGGTAACTGTGCACATAAAATACAATAATAATAATAAAAAAATCTATATTCATTAGCTTGAGGCTGTCTATTACCTGGGTGAAATACTTTATCTGATTTGTCAAATATTTCTGTATAATGACAGTTGTTTAATAACACGATGTTACTAATCTTCTTGTTTGGTCTCTTATGAAAGGTTCTGAATCTATAAATTCACTCCTGTCAAATTAGGAACAACTTCCTGCGCCTCTGTGTGCTGAAGGTCACGCAGCTGAGCGAGAAACACCTGGAGAAGATCCTGAACGTGGACGAGTTCGTCAAAAGAGTGTTTTCCGTCATCCATAGCAATGATCCTGTTGCCAGAGCAATAACTCTCAGGTACTTTCATCTGCGTGCGACTGCAAGTGGTTTTCCTCAAAATGTTTCATTTTATTTTACAAAAGTCACATTTTTTTGTCAGCTTCCGTAATATTTAATAACATTTCTGTTATCAATTATTCTGTCGAAGACCATCTAAGGAAAATGTGACTGTATGTACACACTGTGTTAATATATGTTTTTGTGTCTTTTTGTGCATTTTGGCAGGATTTTGGGAAGCTTAGCCTCCATTATTCCAGAGAGGAAAAATGCCCACCACAGCATCCGGCAAAGTCTGGACTCTCATGATAACGTTGAAGTAGAAGCGGCTATTTTCGCAGCTGCTAGTTTCTCTTCACACTCTAAGTAAGTGTCATTTCAAACTGTCATGAAAAAAACATTTTGGTTAGGTACTAGTTAATTTCTGGCAAAATATTAAAATGAATTTAGAAGCTGTTGTAGGTGGAAATTTCTTTGAAATGTGAATGTCTATATTTAGGTAATACCATTCTTTCACAATATGAGGCTGATGAATCTTGAATTTGTCGTTCTAGAATATGGACATGATGTGTCTTCCTACATGGTTGTTTATGAAATGAAAAGCTACACACTCCGTCAATTAGGGTTAGAAGTGTTGCCAAACATATAACATGCGAGAACATTATAATCACTGCAATAATGACCCACTCAATCATTTGCCTATTTAAATCCAAACTTTCTTTGGGCCGGGCAGTGTATTATAAAGTGGGATGATGGCTATTTAGAGATAGAAAACATGTTGAACGTAAACATTTTAATCATTGAGTCTTTTTTTTTAATAGAGATTTTGCTGCAGGGATTTGCAACAAGATTAGTGAAATGATTCAAGGTACGTGATCACCTCATCGTCATTGGTGTAAGTGTTCTCCAGTCTGATGGGTGGTGTGTGTTTGCCTGAAGGATTGGACACTCCAGTGGAGCTGAAGCTGAAGTTGATCCCGATGCTCCAGCACATGCACCATGACGCCAGTCTGGCCTCGTGCAGCAGAGAGTTACTCCAGGAGCTGGTGTCCTCCTACCCGTCCACAGCCATGCTCATCGTCACTCTGCACACCTTCACCCAGCTGGCCACCTCCTCGCTCGTCGATATCCCTGAGCAGGTCAGGCTGTAGACATTGTGTCATATATTGTCTTCAAGAGTTAGTTCACCTGCTAATGAAAACTCTGTCATCAATTAATCGTTAAAAGATTGACATCTCGATTGAAATAGCCACGCGATCTCATTCCTAAATGACAACGATTCGCCTGTGTCTATTAAACCTTTAACAAAATCATACTGGAACATTCAAATTCAAATGGTTGGCCCTGCCGCTGACCCAGAGAGAGCAGTTGTCATGTATAGGTATGAAACCACTTCACAAGCTGTGTTTTCAACCACACTGTATCGTTATTTATAAAACGGATAGTCCCGGTCCAGGGTTTCCGTAGTCCGGTAATTACCGGACATTGGCCGGGAAAAAAATGAAATGTCCGACAAAATTAAATCTCTCCGGTCAAATTGTCAGATTAAAATTGCGTAATAATCCCGCCCCCCTAACACAATATGAATTTGAGAATAAGCCTAAAATGTATAAAGCAAAAAACACCAGACCTTTGGCTATGTTATAAAGGAACAGCCTCTACCGTTTGAAAGTTATTAAATTAGTTATTTTAAATTGGGGTTATTCACGGTCTCCCCTACATTTAGATAGGTGGGCAAATGCATTTTTGGAAACACAGGCGAAGCACTGCTACTTGGGCGCAGAGATATCACGCAACACCTGAAATAAAGCTTGACACAAATAACCGGCGAAAGTAATGATTAGGCATATGCATGAAACATTTGAATTATTGATAAAGTTGATAAATTGATAAAGTTGACGATGCAGACTCGCCATCTTCGCAGAAGTGAACGCGCCTATAGAGAGAAGTGTGCACGCGCCGGCGCCTCCGTCCTGATTATATTATCCACTATATTTGCTTCTTATTTATTTATCCAGGCAAATTTGTTGATGAAACATTGATTAAAATTAAGATACAATTTATACAAAACGAAATTTTCAAGCAAAAATAATATTCGAAGATCGCTGGGTTGATTATTATTCGAAAATCGCACCCCTCCACCACATGCACGCACACATGCATTAGGCTACACACCAGAGCATGTGAGCAAAGCAGAGCGGTGTGATGCTTATTATAAGTTAAAAAACGTAAACATACGTTTCATATTTATAAATAATATAATGTTATTATTTTTTTATTTCGTCTATGTTGATTATATGAAAAGGGAACCGCATGAGAGGAGTAAGATAGGATCATAGGATGACCAATATATCGGAAAACATTTGGAATGGGTCAGATTTTGACCACTTAAGTTTTGTTTTGTAGAAAGCCTTTCTTTAAAGTTTATTTCGTTTTGTATAAATTGTATCTTCATTTTAATAAATGTTTCATCAACAAATTTGCCTGGATTAATAAAAAAAAAGCAAATAGTGGACAATATAATCAGGAAACGGAGGCGCCGGCGCGTGCACACTTCATATGAAGTGTGCATTTCTCTCTCTAGGCACGTTCACTACTGCGAAGATGGCGAGTCTGCATCGTCAACTTTATCAATTTATCAACAATTCAAATGTTTCATGCATAATCATTACTTTCGCCGGTTCTTTGTGTCAAGCTTTATTTCAGGTGTTGCGTGATATCTCTGCGCCCAAGTAGCAGTGCTTCGCCTGTGCTTCGCCTGTGCTTCGCCTGTGCTTCGCCTGTGCTTCGCCTGTGCTTCGCCTGTGCTTCGCCTGTGCTTCGCCTGTGCTTCGCCTGTGCTTCGCCTGTGCTTCGCCTGTGCTTCGCCTGTGCTTCGCCTGTGCTTCGCCTGTGCTGCTCTATTTGCCTGTCCGCAACGGCGATAGATTGAAACGCGGCGCAGCGCGCCGTCCATGCAACTGATAGCAGCGGACATGAGCGCTCAGCTTGATTTCAAAAACAACTGATTTTAGCGCTAGATCTCTTATTTAATAGCAAACTAAATGAATGATCTGCTAGTTAACTGGAGATGTTTTATTTATTTGTATTAGGTACATCCGTGCCTCAATGTTTCAAAAAGTGAATGTGTGTGAAACCATAGTAAAAAAAA